GACCTTTCCAGTGGGAACATCCTTCACCTAAAGCCATCTCCAGTGTTGAGGCATTACGTGTGCGGGAGGTAGCCAGCTAGATTTCCACCTCTCCAAGTACAGTCCTTGTGAGTTGTGACTGCTAATTACAGTTCCTCGTGTTATGAAAAAAATGTATTAATCAAAATGTGAGCCTGCCATGCAGGCAAAGGGGCAGCGTGCAGGTAGGAGTCAACACTTTTGAATTGTAAGTTGATGTAATACTGGTTGCCCAACAACAAATCACTTAATAACTCTAGGGTTAGGTTTGTTCTTGAGATGTATACATGCAACTACCTTCAAAATCTCTACATAGAGCAGATTAGGAAATCCAAAGGCTATTAACCTGTTATGGGAAAATTCATAATTGCTTTTCCTGGCTGTGACAAGTAGGAAATGCTAAAAACTAGGCACATGAGGTAAACATCGGTGCGGGGATATAATTAATTGTCATTGTTACCAGGAAATGCATAATTTCTTGGGCAACTCTTTGGAAGTGTATAAAAGTGCTCTGTTCCCTGTTCCTCCTTCATTCGGCTTCACTTCTCTCTTCTGCTGCTTGCTCCAACAAGGGGTAAGTTGGGTTATGGGGATCGGTACTGCACTCAGCAGTGGGATATCCTCTTGGCTGGTTAGTTTGACCTTATCTTTGTCTTAGAGAATTGTAGTTCTTGGTATGTGAAGAGATGCCTGTATATTTAAACTGTGCAAAGGACTCGTGTGGTGTGTTTGTGCAGGTGGGATGGCAGAGAAATGGGAAGAGTTGAGGGACTGGCACTGCAAAGACAAGAAGTCTTGGGGTCCGTCAGAGAATTAATCCTGAAGTATTTGGTGGTGGAGAGCAAGAGAGGGATCTCAGATAAATAGATGCAAAGCCTTAAAAGTAAACTAGACTTAACAAAGTAGTCTGCAGCATCTTGTTAAGGAAATTCCTGTCAGAATCAGACCATGCAGAACAGGAACAGCAGAGTATCTCCTAAAATACAAGGCAGTGTCACTTTCGGAGTCTCCCATATATATTACAAAGCAGAGGAAAAGGAACTCCTCAGAACCCTACGGAGAAAGAGCTGAGGAAATGCAGATTGCAGTTGGGTTTGCCTGCCCGGGTGACACGTTGTCCGTTCCCCACAGCTTGGCCAGGACTCCAGAAGGATGTGCTCCCGCGGGACCTGCCACGACTACGAGTCCTCCTGCCACGGCTCCCGCTCCTCGTGCCACGACTCGGGATCCTCCTGCCGTTACACCATCCAGGTGCAGCCCGTGCAGACGTACGGCTACGTGGCACCCTGCTGTCCCCCCGTGCAGCGCTATTGCCCCCCACTGCTGCAGTACTGCCCCCCGGTCCCGAGCTGCCCCCAGTACTCCAAGAACATCTGCAAGCTGCCCTCCTCGTACCCCAAGTACTAACACCAGCGTCCAGCCCTGAGCCCAGATCTGCCAGCTGCCTCCTCGGGGTCTCCTCCTTGGCCAGCTCTGCTGCTTCTCTGCAAGCAAATGCTTTCAAAGCAGCCGGTGGGTCGCGTCGGGATGGGGTGAAGTGTCTTTGAGCTGTTCATGTTCTTTCTGCCAATGCCCATTGCAATGGCTGCTGTCAGCAGTTTCTGTCTCGCTTTTCTGATTCTGTCTCCAGCAAGACAATAAAAATTCTGCTTCAAGACTACCATATCGTGCTGAGTGTATTTAATCACTGTTCCCTGATACCTATTTGTCTGATGGCGTCTTGAGCATGATTTCCTTGAGGTTTTTGTTAGTCATTCCAATGACTAAAATTAATGGAAAACTGCAGAAACGAAAGTGGCAGGAAGTGCCCACGGTGCCTGCCAGCAATACCAGGACACCGTCCTCGTGCAGGGGAACATTCCAGGTGTGAAAGCAGAGCAGATGCACAGAGCTCAGCAGATGCAGTGTGGGTTCAAGATACAGCCGGGGGCCTGGCTTGCACGTTCATGCTTTTCCTGCAAACAGGATCTTTAAAAGTCATTGCTAGATTTGGAAACAAAACAAAGCAAATCCCGCAGGTTCCTTAACCTGAGCTGGAACAACCTCAATTAAAAAGTTTGCACAGTGTGTAATGAGAGAAAGTTCCCCAAGTGTGATTCACCCATCCCGGGCAGGCATGGGAACGGACTTCTGGAAGTCCCTAGTAAATAAACAGTCAGTAAATACCCAATAGGAATTACTTATTTGTAAGTTATGGGGGAAATTGTCATTATAGAGGAAGAGCCTATTAAAAGGAAAAGCTATGAATGAGATGCAGAGGATAATTAATTACTGACCTACATTTGTGTTGTTGCCATTGCTAAGGGATGGCTCATTTTTCACACAGCCCTGGGGAATGCTGCGTTTTCCCTGTTCGTTCTTCGTCTGGGCATTAGAGGGTGATGAGTCAATAAGTCTTTCAGTTCATAGAAGTTTTGTCCTTTTATGTTTGTTTTTTCCTTCACTTTCCTTTCCTGCACAACGTCTAGAGCTCTCTATTCTGTGACTAATGCAGAGTATTTTATTTCCTCTTCCTTTCCTTTTTCCTGCAAAATGCTCAGAGCTTTTGTCAGTCCTGGAAATGTTTACCACTAGGATAGCAATAATCAAAGCTTTTATCTCATTGGAATCATTAAAAAAAATCAAAGACCATAAAAATTTTGAGGAGGAAGAATTCTTTCACATCCGTATGCTCAAGATGGCCAAGAGGAACACTTCAGGAATCCCAGCTCTGTGTTTAACAACGTAATAGCCGATTTCCACCACCAGGATTAACCAGGAGCAACTCCCTCAAGTTTAATAACACAGAATTTGCATTAGCTACTTCGTGGAAGGATTGCTCCACCTCCTACCTAATTCTCAAAGCCAAACGGGCAGCACAGGAGCGTTTTGGACATCTTATGGAGGCTTCGAGAGTTCATCTTCTCCACTCAGAATTTAATTGGGATCTTTTCTGGACATGGCTGGGCTTTTCCTTCATAAACCTCCTCCTATAAAACCGGCCAGGAGTCTCTGTGGATTGGATTTCTCTCACATGGCTTTAGCCATCATTGATGCAAACGCAGGTCTGATGACAGCAATGTATTTTTTGCCTTAGCAGGGTCATGGATGAAGTAACGCACTAGAGCTGTACAAAGTCACATAAAAATTGCCTTGTTTGGACCAACATCTCTTCCTCAGCACCTCTGTGTTTGTTAATATTGGAGCCTCCTGTCCTTTCTCCATATGCTCCGGGCTCAAAACTCCACACCAGGCCATACTCCAGACTGGCATGAGCCTCCCTTGCTGCCAGCAGAGATGCCTGCATCCGACTGCTATAAATCTGTATCTCTAATTAGATTTTAACATGTGGCAGCAACCTGGTCTAACCTGGGCTAGCACAATGCTAGACAAACTCAATAGGAAATTGGGCCTGTGTTTCAACAGACAGGAAAATTAACTTTAGAAAGCCCTTGTGCAGAGATATGGTGAGTTCTTGCCTGCTGCCTGGGAGGGTGGTCTGGGGTCCCCTATGGCTCTCAGCGGTAGAAGGAGCCCTCCATCCCCAAATGATCTCAGAAATGAAACATTTAACGATACACGTCATGGTCCTGGGTCTTGTGAATTCCCTCTGACTAGAGAGAGACCATGTTTTTAAAAACACGTAGTTTAATTTGAAGTTCTTAAGATGCTCAGCATATCATGCGAGGCCTTCGGGCTTTCGCGCAAAATAAATAGTGACAGCATTAATGAATAATTGCAACATGATCATTAGCATCAGCACTAATGACTGTCAATAGATGACTGAGAACGGAGCATGGAGTTGATTCCAGAAATGACGTCCTTAGGTGGATCTTTCCTTACTCAAGGGCATACTAGAACTTAAAGGAATGTAATGGGAATTTTGAAGATCAAAACATGCTAAGCAGAAACATTAGAAAAGTGTTGTGATCTGCTTTTATTTAAATATGTCAGAAAGGAATTGGAAAAAATCTGGACTCCGCTTTGGGCCAAACTCTACTCCAAATTTCTTCATGATTCTTTCAGCTAGGATTTCTCATACTAGCAAAGCAGAGGGCATGGATTTTCCAATGCCCTGAACAAGAAATGAGATGTCAAGAGCTTTGTGTTCTGTGTTTGCTCTTCTGATGACCAGGACCCCAAAGAAGACACCAGGCTTGGCCATTTCTCCATCCAAAAACAAATCACAAGTGATGGAGTGACAGGTGCCCAAAAGGCCTCCACGTGCCTCTGGAATCCACCACTTCTTAATGACAATTAGGATTTTTTATGTTAATCTAGCACTCATTGCCTCTGGACAAGGCACCGAGCATATCTGTCTAATGACTGCCATATGCAAAATGAGCGGAAACATACCTTTTAAGCAGTCCACAAGAATTAACTTGACATTAAAAAACTGTAAAAAATCTGCAGAACAAATTGTTAATAATACAAAATTGAGGGGGTGGTCAAAAATAATGAGGCAGAGGCTAACCAGATGAGGGCACGTTCAACGAATAAGTATAGGTTAGGTGGGCAAATGATGAAGTCAGAATTGCTATGGGGTATCTCATTTCCGACAGGCAAATTTCGAGCTAAATAAAAGGCCTCCCATCCTTTTGCTCCTCACTCAACTACACCACCCCGTTAGCACGGTAAGTTCACCTACTGGCAACGTTCTCTGTTAACGAGGGTTCTAGCAGGGTTCTGGTCAAGCAATGAGTCTGGAAGTGTCTTTGTGTCTGATCTACAGTTCTGCCTGAGTCCAGATTTTCCTGCAAAACAGAGCGGAAAGAGCTCAGGCTTTGGGAGTGGAGAAGGAAGTTTTGGGGTTGGTGGTTCATGGAGGGATGTTCGTAGATCAGCAAAGGGAAGTTCCCAGAGCAGTTCAGAAGGTCTGCGGCACTTCCCTGGGATAAGGCCAGACAGCTCAATGAATTTGCCAAGCTGGAGCGGGTCTGAGCGTACGCTGTGTTTCAGGTCTCCGTTCCTTCGTCCCTGCCTGCACTACAGCTACGTAAAACATGTGCTCTCGTGGGAAGACGGTGTGCTGCAGCCAGCCGTGCCAGCAGGCCCGCTGCTGTGACCCGTGCCAGCAGGCCACATGCTGTGACCCGTGCCAGCAGGCCCGCTGCTGCGTGAAGGTGTGCCAGAAATCTACCTGCTGTGACCCGTGCCAGCAGTCCAGCTGTTGTGATCCATGCCAACAGTCCAGCTGCAACCCATGCCAGCAGTCCAGCTGTTGCGACCCATGCCAGAAGCCCACTTGCTGTGACCCGTGCCAACAATCTACTTGCTGTGACCCGTGCCAGAAGTCCGTCTGCTGTGACCCGTGCCAGAAGCCCACCTGTTGTGACCCGTGTCAGCAATCTACCTGCTGTGACCCGTGCCAGCAGTCCACTCGCTGTGACCCATGCCAGAAGTCTGTCTGCTGTGACCCATGCCAGAAGTCTGTCTGCTGTGACCCGTGCCAGCAGCCAACTTGCTGTGATCCATGCCAGAAATCTACCTGTTGTGATCCGTGCCAGCAGTCCACCTGCTGTGACCCATGCCAACAATCTACCTGCTGTGACCCGTGCCAGAAGTCCGTCTGCTGTGACCCGTGCCAGAAGCCCACTTGCTGTGACCCATGTCAGCAATCTACCTGTTGTGACCCGTGCCAGCAGTCCACTTGCTGTGACCCGTGCCAGCAGACCAGCTGTTGCAACCCGTGCCAGCAGCCCATCTGCTGCACCCAGCCATGCACGCAGCGGTGCCTGCCCTGCAGCCGCTGCGGCTGGTTCCCCCGCTGCTGC